ACACAAACACTGAAAAACCAACGGGATGCAATGGTGTCAGCCTTTACTAAAATGCTTGACAACAACAAACCGCCAGAACCACCGCCAAAGAAACCACCAGATGAGGATGACAGCGATTTCTATCCATATTAAATAATAAGATGAAATAATTAGTAAAATAATTAGTTGATCTTATTATTTTCCTCTTCAATGCTCATTGATTGAAGCAATGGAAAGCCTGCTCCGTTTTTATGATATTCGCCACCAGCATATCATAAAAATGATGTTCCATTTATTTTTAATTACAAGTTAATTTTTAAATATAGTTTTCTATATATCTTTAATATCAACTATGACAGATGTTCCAAAAATAAAACCAATAAACATAACTGAATATGAATTCAAGCAATCCAAATATGAGCACGTGCCAAAATTACCATTTAGAAGTATTATAGTTGCTTCTTCGACAGGCGGTAAGACTGTCCTTATTCAAAATTTAATATTGAATGTTTGTAGAAACTCATTTGCAGAATATTTATATTTTCAACCAGCGTCCATAACGACCCTACATTTACAGAAGTTAAAAAATATATCAGGGATGAATTGCACGTGGATGATGAAAAAGAACAAATTTATTTTGATAATTATCATTTAAGTGATTTAGAAAGTGTAATTGAAAGACAAAAGAAAATAATTAATTATATGAAGTCTAAAAAGATAAAGAAACTGCACTCAATATTAATCGTTATAGACGATCATGCCGATGATCCTAAATTTGTTAGATATAGTAAATTATTACATGGATTATTTACAAGAGGTAGGCACGATGCAGTAAGCGTAATTTGTTCAACACAAAAATATAATGTTTTGGCGCCTACCATTCGTTTAAATGCCAGTTCACTATATATTTTTAGGTTGAAAAATGCCAGTGAATTAATGAGTTTTATTGAAGAAAATAGTGCCATTGTTGACAAACAGCAATTATTAGATATGTATCATCAAGCCGTTAATTTTGCTCCATATTATTTTTTCTACGTGAATATGAATTCAAAAGACATTAACAAAATGTTTCATACCAATTTTGAACAGGCATTTCAAATTACAAATGATGAATAAAGATATTCCAATTTAATATAATATAATAATATGCCAATCAAACTATGTAGATGTGGTGGATTTTATCGTGGAGGTAATTATAATGTTCATACTAATTCTTGGATACATAACTTTATAAGGTATTGAAAAGAAGGGCAACGGACGAGGAATTATTAAGATTTCAACATAATTTTGTTGATGAAGAAGATTTAATAGATGATATGTGCAGCAATCAGCAATGCCTCAACAAAATTACCCGAAAGTGAAATGACAGATTATGATAACAATTAATAATATTAATTATGTTTTAATATTGTTAATTCAAAATAATGAATAGCTACAAAGGTTGAGAGCAGGAAATTTATAATATACTATCTTTTTTACATTCGTTAACTTTTTCTAGTTTATTTATTATTGCTTTCAATCCATTTATTTGTCTAATATCATTTTTGACATTTCGCTTATCATCTCAATATCTATATCTTTTATTACGTTAATTGCCTCATCATCACCAATTTCTACTGGTTTTGATTTACTTGAACCCATTATATATAATAGTGTTTATATTTTATTTTTTCTGAATTATCTTTTTGTTTGTCTTCTCCGTCTTCTTCTTCGTCTTCAGTTGGTGCCGGTATTTCTGTTGGACTTTCAGATGAAGAACTATGGACAGTAATAGGTGGAGAACTATGAACACTAATAGCTTCATTTGATGAATTGCTACTGCTACCTTGTGCGCTTCCTGCCGTTATTTGATTGACTACATCTGCGATATTTATTGTTGTTGCAATTGCGCTATGTGATAAGTTTAATATTATATCTGCTACTGTAGCGCCGTTGTGTAGCATTATTTCTATCATTTTTGTCAGTTTGAATCTTTTTTCTTCTTCAGTTACTCAGATTATATTAATATAATAGATGAAGTAGAAAATATAGAACAAGTAATGACAACTGATAATAAATGCAAGAAAGTATGCTATTTTGTTTTAGAAATACTTGAGCTAGGAATACAATATATCAAAAATAAAATGTAAATATTAATATAAATGGTAAAAAATAAAAAGAAAAAACAAAAACAAGACAGGTTTAAATGTTTCTTCAACAGATGAAGATAGCGGAGAAATTGTTAAGGAAACAGCAGTAATTGAGGTTGCGTGTCCTATGTGCAAAAAGAGTTAGAAATACAAAAGAAAGGAAATTGTAAATGCTCGTGTATTCCAACAAGTTTCAAAATAAGTAAAAATGATAAGAAAATGAATATTGATAAAACTAAAGATGGTATCAACTTAGAAACAGATGTCCATAATATAACTTTTAAATGGGGTAAGGATGCATCACTCTCGGAAAATGGTGACAACGAAACACAGGACACTATTAAACAAATGATGAAAATAGTATTTAAAGAGTAGATTTAACATAATTGCACTTTATCAAATATATGATTAAATAAATAATTATATAATTAAATGTATAGTAATGTTTGAAAATGAGAATTATACTATTAATGATTTAATGAAGAAGACAACATTAAGTGGTAAAAATATTAAAACCTTAAACGATATGATTAAATCCATTGATGACAAAATGAAACCAGCTGAACGCGAACAACAAAGCACTGAAGAGAAGGAGAAGATTGAGAAAATATTTGAAAAGAAAGGGATCGGCAGACCTACCGGCAGTTATGAAACAAAACAAAAGAAATACAGCGATATGTTAAACAGTGAAAAATTCAAGACTCCAAAGCAACAAAACTTAGACTACTATAAAATTACTAAAAAATGATGATGGAGTATATGTATTATTTGAAGAATTAATATCTAAGTAATTCTAATAATATGAACTTATTAGAATTATTTAGCAAGAAGACCTATATACAATACCTAGCGAATTAATTTGTGAAATCTTAGTGAGTTTGACGGATTAAGGATTTTGAGTTTGGGGTTGGGCTTGCAACTTGAGCACATGCAATTGCAATGAACCAAGCCACCACCTATTTTGACAGAAATCGGGGCATGCTTTTGATAAAACCGGGGAATGATTTTGATAAAATCGGGGAATGACTTTGATAAAATCGGGGCATGATTTTGATAAAATCGGGGCATGATTTTGACTAAAACCATACTATGATTATAACATTTATACCCTTATATGTTATAATTATAATGTAAGTATAGCGTTTTATATATTTGAAGATAAATCATACAAGGAGGACCACGCGCAACTTCGCCATATCCAAATGTTGAAAAATGAATAATTATTAAGTCTTCTCATTGAATTATTGAAAATGTTGTTTCTTATTGAACAATCCTTCTTAAAATGCTATATATATATATTTATCTCTTTTCAAAAAAATATATGTTCTAAAATATTTTGGAAAATATGTGTTTTTGAAAATAACAATGTTTAGGTGTGTTGATTTTTCCACAAAATAATTCAATTTTCGTTTTGGTATGCTGTACTAAAATTTGTTTTATCAAAATGTGTTTAGCCTGCTTCAAAAAATGTTTTAGAATGGCTGTTTTGGGGTGCTTATTCAAAAAATGCAAAAAACCTAGGGTGGACCCTGGACTTTGGGGTTCGAAAAAAGTTGCGCATGGCCCTACCTAACTCTGTTCGCGGGCGAGTCCTGCGCCCATTGCGCGACAGCAGCTGGAACAGCATAGCGTCTAAGCGGGCCGGATCGCGTCTTGTCTTGCTTGCTCTGCTCGGGCTGCGCCCAAACCCTGCAGAACGCTTGTAATTATCTTTTGGCTGGCAGAACACTTGCAGAACGCTTGTGGGTATTGTTGTCATGTGGCTCCAATGTGCACAGTTCTGCCTGCGCGGCCCCAGTCCAGCACAAAGCTCTCAAATGACCATCCATGCTTTGGGGGAGTAGTAGTGGTGTAGTAGTAGTAGTAGTAGTAGTAGTAGTAGTAGTAGTAGTACTAGTAGTAGTAGTAGTAGTAGCAATAGTAGTAGTAGTAGTAGTTGTTGTAGTTGTAGTAGTAGTAGCAGTAGTAGTGGTAGTGGTAGTCGTAGAAGTAGCAGTAGGAGTAGTAGCAGTAGCAGAAGTAGTAGCAGTCGGCGTTGTTGTCGTCGCAGTAAGACTACTGCCTACTACTACTACTACTACTGCTGCTGCTGCTGCTGCTACTACTACTAGCGCTAGTAGTTGTCGGCAGCCGGCTAATCCGCCGCCCATTCCCTATTCTTTGGGACTTGTTCGTTGTCCTTGTTCCCCTTCTCTTGATGCGGGCTCAAAAGAACCCTGCGTTAAGAACAGCTTTCCTTCCACGCCAGCGTTCATTGCATGCTCTTGCGTGCAAAGCTCCCGTTTGCTTTTGGCCCCTCATGAGCCCGAAACGCAGGTTTTGGTCCGTTGTTTTGCGTAATTTGTGCAGGAATTTGCAAATGTACTGCTATTTGTGGCACACTATGCAAACTTTTGGCGTCGCAATGAAGCTGTTTTCAGGGGCATGTACTTTTTTACTACGGCTGTAAACCAATGCGCCGCGGCGTTTACTGCTGTTCTCCGGCGCACAGCACCGCGCGGCGCGGCACGTCATCTCAGAGGAGTAAAAGCTGCGGGCCGGCGCGGCTGCGACGGGTTCGTGGGCGGGGCAGGTTGGATCTGGATTTGGTGGTTGCTGATCAGGGCTCCTTAAAAGACACGTGTTGCCGATTTGAAGCATGGCTTTTTCCACCGAAGTTGAGGAAACCACCATTCACAAGGCAATGTTCAGGTGTATAATGCAAGGATCCCTGCTGATACGCTTGGTTGCCTTGCTGCTTTGCTTGTGCGCTTTTCTGCTTCGGTGCTGCTGCTCCGCTGCTTTGCTGTTTTGTTGGCACCCTGTTTGGTTCCTGTTTGTGCCGGCCGGGGGCGCCGCTTTGAAACTACCCCCAAAAGGGAACCCCTCAAAACACACGTTGCTATGGATCAGGGCAGGAAGGAAGCTATGGTCGGCAGCTTTAACAATATGCTCTACCTGGTCTACCAGAGGAATGTGCGATCGGACAGCCAAGGGTGGCAGTTGGCTTCCAAACAAGCTTTCAGCAAGGTGTCACTTATCGCACGGTACAGTTCTGGAGTTCCAACACTTCCGCCTTTGACCTTCCCCAAAGATCAGGAGCTCGATATTGGCCCGTTCAAGCAGACCCTGCGCTTCCTCAGCGTCATCGTGCAGGCGCGTCCAGTGAGGTCGCGTGGGAGAGGCGGGCGTGAGAAACATGGGCGGACAAGACCTGCAAGAGCATGGCACGTGGGTTGAAATTCTTGTCTTTGTATTTGTTCCAAGGCCAAGAAAGCTAAGAAGTGGACAAATCGCAAAGAAAGAGGTTCTGCGAAGATCCATTTGATCAAGAAAACACGGCGCGCGCGGGTTGCATTTTTTGGTCGATATGGGTATGGGGTTCCCTTGATGTGTCCCATGACAGCTTTCGTTATGGTTTCCCTTTGAAGCATCCTGACAACGGGGACCCTCAAAAAGCCAGGCTCACTTGTAGTGCTGCTAGGGGATTTTTTGGTGGACATCAGATTCCGATGCGATTTTTGGTCCCCCAACTCGAGAGGGTATTACAACCATGTTATCCCTTGCCGCTTTTCCTTCTTCTCGGACCTGCCCTTCCAAGTGCAGCTGACCCCTGAAAGCGGCGGGCGTTTTTTACTCTCCACGCATGGATCGCAATACAACAGACCTTGGAGGCGTCCAAGAAACTCGCCAGCCTCGACGAATGCTATAGCTAGAGGTTCGGCAGTGCTTCGGCAGTGCGCAAGCTGTTGAACTCTTGGCGCCACATCCCACGCTGCGCTTCCACCGTTGACAGTGCCCACAAGACATGCGAGCGATGACGCCAGGGTCGAAGTGCAGGGCGCTTCTCCAGCAACAGGCGCAGCGCGTCGTCAACCGAGCGCACTGCGATTGATGCCTCCAAAGCAATGAAACAAGACTTAAAATTCTTTTTCTTCGGCCCGCGGACCAGTTCCAAAGCTGGCGACAAAGTTCTTTCCAGTGACTCAAACACTCGAGAGCATACTGCTCGTGCTTCTCGCAGTCTTTGTGCGGGATCTGGCGGGTCCAGTCATCCAAGTGATCACGAAGATGCCGCACTCCGTGGCGAATCCTTTGGACAGCCACGCGTAGACATCTCGTTGCCACAGAGGGTCACTGCCACATTGACTCGTACACTAAGCTGGGAGTGGATGTCCTCGAGCGAGCAGGCCGCCTTCAAACTGCCCAGCAGCACATGCTGCCTTGCGTGATGGCGATAGATCACGGGCGTCCAGCGGCCAGTCTTCAATGGACTTGAAGGAGCAGTGGTGCTCCCAGACGACAAAGTCCACATCTCGATCGTGCCCTGCACGGTCTCCTGCGGCACGAGGGAGCAAGGGGCCAACATAGCTTCAAAAGTTGTGGCTGGATCCGAAACTACTGTGCAGGGCCAATCTCAACTGCACATCCTGCATGTTCACGCAATCAAGTGCGATGCGGTCTGTCGCTTTTTTTTGGCTCTGGCAGCCGCGATGGCGCGGTCTACAAGCGTATGTTGAAGCAGCCGTTCCTAGGATTCGCAAAGACACGACGTCCCAGGTCCAGCCTGCCATCCGCGAGGCCGCAGCTGCAACGAGATTCGCAAAGACGCGCCTTCCCGATGCAGCTACGTAGCTCGTGCAAAACTGAGGTTATGCCGGCCACTACAGCTCCCTGCGCCGCCAGGGATTCGGCAGACAGACCGCTTCTGCGTCGTGGCCTGCGCCGTCTCGGATTGGAGGCCCAGAATCAAGCGGTGCTCCTCGGCCAACCTTTGGATCACGCCCTCCTCCTTCAGGCGAAACATGCGCTCCACGACCAGCGCTGCCCGGGAGCGGTCATCGTCGCGGCTCAGCGCGCCAAGCAGCAGTCGCGGCGCGCCGTCCGACATGCTGTGCTGCAAGCATTGGTCAAACTTGCAAACGACCTCCGCTCCAAATTCTTCCTTGGGCTCCTCCTTGCAAATCGGCAGGACCTTCTCATGCTTGATCAGCACGTGCTCGTCACTCCTGTCGCCAAATCGATGGAGCCGTCATCTTTGGCAACGGCAACGATGGTCACGTAGGACGGGAAAATGGCAGCTTGCGCAATCTTGATGCCCAATCCAGAGAAGGTTCTGTCGGAGTACACATTGGAGATGGGATAGATCGAGCCCTCCGCGCGCACGTTGGCGAGGCGCAGCACCTTCCTCACCATGGGGCGACTCTGGGGGTCGTAGGCTTTTCCCAGCGCAGTCTGGGCTGCAACCGCCTGAAACTGGCACTCTTGCGAAGCCTCAGTCTTTCGATCGGAGTCTTGCGTGCTGACTGGAAGCCGTCACAACCTCCTTGGCTCCTCTGTTGTAAGACTTCGTCATGCCAAAGCTCGTCGCCAGACGAATGTCGAGCTGCGTGCGAAAGCACAAGCCTTCTGGGCCTTCTTTGTCGATCATCTTCAGAAGATCGACTTTGGATTCCGCCATGGCCATGCTGCACAGAGTGCTTTTATCCACCAGCACTCGCTCCAAGGTCCCAGTGTGATCCGACAAGTCGACTGTGGCTAAGACCGCAAGCTCATCAGCTCGCTCCGACGAGCAGCCGTCTGCCTTTCTCTTGCAGGAGTTGGTCACGGGGTCTATCTTGGTGTGGCAATGGCGCAGGCGCGCAAACCACGAGACAACTTCCAAAGACCAGTTGGCAGGCCGCAAAATTCTGACGGCGCCAAAGCGAGAGCGATTTGACACGCACGCGCCCCGCAGAGGGTCGTGAGAACCAAACGAATTCGCACGACGCCACAGCGAGAGCGATCCGACACGCACGATCACCGCACAGGCTTCACCGAGCTCAAGACAGGATTGCGCAGCGCCACAGCGAGAGCGCCGAGCTCAAGACAAATTCGCACGACACCACAGGCAGAGCGCAATGTTGATGTCAGACACGCACGATCCCTGTAAAGGGTCGCGCGACCAAGACAAAACTCGCACGGCGCCGCAGCGGGAGCGCAATTTTGACGTCAAACACGCACGATCCCCGCAGGCGGGAGCGATCTGCGCGTACCACTTTTGCACTTCAAAATTGCGATTTTCGAGCCGGAGCTGCGGGAATGTTACTCCGCGTACTACTTTTGTACTTCCAAATTGCGATTTTCGAGCCGGAGCTGCGGGAACGTACTCCGTACTACTTTTGTACTTCAAAATTGCGATTTTCGAGCCGAAGCTGCGGGAACGTACTCTGCGTACTACTTTGGTACTTAAAAGTTGCGATTTGCACCGAGCTCAAAACCTCGCACGGCGCCACAGCGAGAGCGCCGAGCTCAAGACAAACTCGCACGGCGCCACAGCCGGAGCGCAATTTTGACGTCAAACACGCACGATTTTGCAGAGGGTCGCAAGAACCAAGCAAATTCGCACGGCACCACTGCGAGAGCGATCGGACACGCACGATCCCCGCAGAGGGTTCACCGCGACCCAGACAGATTCGCACGGCGCCGCATCGAGAGCGATCCGACACGCACGATCCCCGCAGAGGGTTCGCCGCGACCAAGATAGATTCGCACGGCGCCACAGCGAGAGCGATCCGACACGCACGATCCCCGCAGAGGGTTCACCGCGACCAAGACAGATTCGCACGGCGCCAAAGCGAGCGCGATCCGACACGCACGATCCGCGCAGAGGGTTCGCCGCAACCCATGCAGATTCGCACGGCGCCGCAGCGAGAGCGATCCGACACGCACGATCCCCGCAGAGGGTTCACCGCGACCAAGACAGCTTCGCGCGGCGCCACAGCGAGAGCGCCGAGTTCAAGACAAACTCGCACGGCGCCACAGCGGGAGCGCAATTTTGACGTCAAACACGCACAATCCCCGCAGAGGGTCGCGAGAACCAAGCAAATTCGCACGGCCCTGCAGCGAGAGCGATCGGACACGCACGATCCCCGCAGAGGGTTCACCGCGACCAAGACAGATTCGCACGGCGCCACAGCGAGAGCGATCCGAAACGCACGATCCCCGCAGAGGGTTCACCGCGACCAAGACAGATTCGCACGGCGCCACAGCGAGAGCGATCCGACCCGCGCGATCCCCGCAGAGGGTTCACCGCGACCAAGACAGATTCGCACGGCGCCGCAGCGAGAGCGATCCGACGCGCGCGATCCCTGAGAGGGGTGAGTTTCGATAGCTCCTGTCGGGCCTACCCCCTGCCAGAAAGAGAAGAAGAACTAAGAATCGAGAAGAGAAGGAAGAAGAGGAAAAGTTGGCTAGTGATTTAGAATAGAAAAGTAACACCAGAAAAGTTAGGTGGTTTCTAGGATGGCGAAGTAACGCTCGGAATGTTAGCTTGCGCTTTAGGACAGTCAAGTAACACTCGGAAAGTTTGCTGGTGTTGTTGGATAGCGCAGTTAGCCCGTGAAGTGAGATTATGCAATTGGCTGGTGACATGAGCTTGTGAATTGCGTTTTAACTTGGCTTGTGAAGTAAGCTTGTGCAGTTGACTTGTGAAGTGAGCTTGTGCAGTTGACTTGTGAAGTAAGCTTGTGTAATTGGCTGATGAAGTTTGCAGCCGCTTTAGAAGAAGAGCCCTTCGCCATGCTTCCGGGGAAAACAACCTATTACTTTCCACGGAAACCAAGACAAAAACCACCAAAAGCGGAGCGAGCGCGCCGGGTCCGGCGGTCAGTCGGCTGCGCTGGACACGGAGTTCGTGGTCGACTCCTCCGATGTGCCGCAGGACGAGACCAGTAGCCCAAATCCCAATGTCCTCTATTTGCAAACCTGGTCTCGATATCAATTTCCCTTTTTTTCCCGCAATGGGCCTATGCCCTCTATTCTTGCAAAACCTGGGGCTATCCCAGTTTCCTCTGGTGTTTTTCCCCAACAGCTGAAAGCTTTGGGGTGTGGTTCGGGGCGGCCCTAAGGTAAGGTTCCACGAACGTTCCACCAGGGTTCCACCAGGGTTCCGCGAGGGTTCCACGAATTAAAAAGAGCACCGCCTGCTGGGGATATCACCAGAGCTTATTCTCAACAACTCGGAGTTTGTGAATGAATTGAGCCAACTGTCAGCGCACCTTTGGTTGGTGGTTTGGGGAATGGATTTGACATTCTGCTTGTTGTTGTGGGCAACTGGGTTCCACCTCCCAGCCACCAATCGGAGAATAGGGACCCCTTGTTGGATGTTTTGTTTTTCGGGAAGCCAAGAGGACAGCGAAGCCATTTCCGGGATCTTTCGAAACGACGCTTTTATGCAGCTCCATCCAGGTGGAGCGCCCGGGCCGGCGCAGGCTCGGCGGCTGCGGCGGGCGGCGCTGCGTCTTCTCCACAAGCAGTGGGCCCCGGTTCTGCGACATCGCGATGGGCCCTGGGGTGCGCCCGTCCATCCACTTGCCCACAGGCAGGCGGCAGGTCTCGCGGCCAATGTGCAAGTCCAGATTCAGACGAATGGATCTGACCATACTTGTTTTTCCCCCTTCAGATGGTTCATCTTGTTTGCAGTCCCAAGTTCCCATGGCCAAAAGTTACTCGGGGATGAGCTTTCGGGGTCTCAAGCTGCCATTGTTTTCCATGCCACCATTGTTTGCCTGAAACTTTCATCTTGACTTTTTTCCCCGCAGTTTCATCTAAGCTGTTTCACTCCCGGTTCATTTTCTTTCAGCCGTTTTGGTGCTCCCCCGAGAGCCTGGCGTGACCGACGTGCCCTACCGCTCCAAGCAGAACTTGGGCTTCTGGCGCGGTGCCGTTTGGCCGGCAGGGCGTTGTGGGGACTGGCGCAGAAGCCCGCGGGTGCTCATGTGCCAAGCGAGTCAGAAGCACCCCGACGTCTTGAACGCCTCACTAGGCACGGCTTGGAGGCCAAGCCATTGTTGGCTTTCTGGGAAGGCTGGAGTTTTGCAGTCTGAAGCTGTTGATGTTGGTACTGGTTTCTGGTGAATGAGGATCTATCATTCATGTTTTCCTGAAATGTGAGGTTTCTAGTTGGAGGAGCAGGGCAGACTTGTCATGGGCTTGCAGTCGCCGCTCTTGGTCGTCAGTGTTTGTTTTGCCCGACAAGTGACAGCTTGTGTAGGCAAACTGCATTGCAGCTCACCTTCGGTTTCGAAAGCCCAAAGGCCAATACTGGACGAAGCTCAAGGCCCTGAGGAAATTACTCCCGTGAATCAAAGGTTGCACCCGGCCCCTGGAAAAGCCCAGGATGAGACAAACGACTCGGTGAATAAGGCTTGACGGTACTAACATATACATACATATATAAACATATGGTATGTATATATATATATAATATAGATGATATATTGGGTTTGGTCTGGGGGTGAGCGGGGGGGGGGGGGGGCTAGGCCATCGTTTCCTTGGCTTGGTTCCCAAGACTGCAAAAAACGATTCCCCACTGACCAGAGCAAGATAATTGGAAACGCACGAGCGGCCGGACCGTGACTTCGGCTCTTCCGAATAAGTCAGATTTCATCGATGAATGCTTAGTAACACTGTGTTATTGATAATGAGTGCACATGCAGAGTCATAAGTGAAGAGATAAACGATGTCATGTATGACTGCATCAAGCCAACACATGCGATTCACCAAGACATAGACTCATAGCTTAAAACCCAGACCGACTTCAAGACTCGTAGAGAAATGGTTCCACCCCCTGGCTATAACAACTTGTAGACCACCCGCGCGCAAAACGCCAAACTCTGAGGGTTTTGTATTACACCCTGGGAATACACCCGCTGGGTAATGACCCTATCTAGGCACATGAACCCGGATAAGACCGTGTTATTTTGAACCATGGGTCATTTCCCAAGGGTGTAATCCCAGGTAATACAAGAATCCAAAAACCGCAAAAACCAAACCGCAAAAATCAAAACCCCCCCCAAAAAAAACGAGCAAAAACAAAAAACACAAACGCAAACAATGCCCAAAAAGAGACGGGAAAAAAACACCGCAAAAAACCAACACGTAGTACAGAAACAAAAAAGCAAAACGCCAAAGCGCCAAAGCGCCAGGGAGCCTGGAGTGCGGGCCAAACGAGCCCAGTGAGCTCTGCGAGCTGATCCGCACCTGGCGCCCGCACCGCGTGAACTTCAGCGAGCAGCGCCTCGGGAAAATTTTTGCGGCGGATCCCCTGAAGGGTGGCGCATGTTGGAGTTGGCACCACCCCCCCCCAAAAAGAAAAACAGAGACAGAAGAAGAAGATAAGAAGGAAACAGCAGGGGGATGGTTTGGTGTTTTCCATGGCTTGAAAATCACATCAACGGCTTGAAGGAGTTCCTTTGGGTTTTCTTGAAAGGAACCTTGGAAAAACCCTGACAAAGAGACATGCACCCCAATGGGAGAGTTTCCTCTTGGGGCAACGTCGTTTTCTAGGGACAACACATGAACACCTTGCCACCGAAATCACAAATCCAATCAACAGAATCAGAAGCAAGGCGGATATTAAGCTTGCCAGACAGTGGCTAGCAAAACAAGTAGCGTTTGCCGCAATGTTTTGGAGTCTTGTGCAAAAGCTGTCTTGCACAGCAGGGAAAACAATTGCCTCCATGTGCAACTAGTTGAGCCCTGGGGGTTTCAACCACACCCTTGTTCACAGAGGAGTTTCAGCCAGCAATCCATTCGTTTCAATGGGATTGACACCTAGGGTTAAGTGTTCTTTGGCGACTTGGACACGGAACCCGTGCCCGAGGTTCCAGTACCGCTTCCTCCTCACTTCAACACCCAAGTGTACGTACACTGGGCGCGCGACTCCCTTCCTATCCTCGACCTCCGTTGTGGCCATGTTTTCCAACGGCGAGGACCGTTACAACTGCGAGTGATTGTTGTTTTTCGGGGTTGGTAAGGGGACGAGGGAGCAAACCATTTTGAGGGCTCCCTATTTTGGTAACCCAAATGCGTGAAGAGCTCCTTGCTTCAACATGGTTTTCCTTAGCCACCAAGAAAGTGGCACCAAAAAGGACCCCCCCGCCTTTTGGGGGTCTACAAAAAGACACGCGTCTTGCATTGCCTTGGGAGTTGCAAGTGCGAGGAGGCGGTCGGGCAGGTGCTGCATGGAGCCTTTGAGGAGGACGTGCACTTCAAGCGCCTCGGGGGGAAAAATTCGCTGGTCTTGCGGAAACCCGGGTGGGGCAAAAGACGGTTTAACCACCACCTTTACAAGGGAAGACTCATCATAACCAGTGGTTTAGACATGTTTAAACCCATGGGTGGCCCCACCCTAGCGGAAACTGCTCTCCTTCGGAGGTGATAAACAAAAGTTTGCTTGCAGTCTGGATTGAGATGGCGAGCGCTATTGTTCAAGGCTTGAGAACCTGGCAAGCCTTGCAACATGCACTCTGAGTGTGGCCGACATATGGCCCCACGAACGGGCAGTTCAGCTCCAACTCGGGGGGTTTGCAAGTCTCCCAGGTACGTGCATGCCGGCCGCTTCGTGGAGGAAAGGGAGGGGTTGTTCGCCCAAATTTTGCGAAGGCGAACATGGCTGGGGATGGGTGGCACGCCAAGCTTGGTCACATCAAGCCGTGTCATAAGTGGAAAACGGGTCTTTCCTTTGGTTTCGCACCTAGGGGTGTAATGGGGTGGCTGAATTGTAACAACCTCACACGACCTCACCCCAAATGGTGGTTTATGTGGGGAATGGCCTCCCAACCACCTTATTGCAGGCTGGTGATTTCACTCAGGTAGTATTTCACCCAGGTATTTCCGCGCCCATCCCGAGTTCATTTCAGTTGGCCGCCATCGAGGAGCTGCGGCAGATGCAGCGGGACTGGGAGCCGCTGGAGGCGCTGAGCGTCAACGCGCGCAAGCGCTGGGCCTGGGCCACCGACCGCGACACGCTCCACTGCGCCTCTCCCCAGGGGCCCAGTGGGGTGGGGCTGGGGTGTGGTGAAGGGTTTTGATCGAAGCGATGTGGGTATGGGTCAAAATTTCACCAACCAAAAAACCGCAAGTTTTTTAGAGCTTGGCTCCATTTGGCAGTTTGGGTGCCTATTTTCCACCCACGGCCATGTAGCTTGTTTTCAAAAGCAACTGTTTCGCAAGGACAAGGGTGCCTGAGTCCAGTCTGATATGATGGGGGTGGTGAGTTGGGTGTGTTCCCTCCTTTTTGAGGCTCGTACTTTGTATTGTGGCGTGAAAGGGAGACTAAAAGGAAAACCGAATTCCATTTTGCGGGTTCTTCAAGGAAAAGCCCCCATTTGATTGTTGCACATTCTTCCCCACTTGAAACGGGACATTGCACGCCCCACTTGCCCCTTCCCGCTTTCTGAGAACACTCGAGGCTACCTGTACGGGCTTATGACGCGCTACGCACAGAAGCTCGACTATGTGCCATCCGTGAATGGTACCATCCAGGTGCATTGGGCCCTCTCGAAGCACAGCGTTGCTTTGGATCCATTTTGAATCCATGGCCGCTCATTTTTCAAGCATTGCTGGAGTTCGCATGCTTGTCTTTGAGCTTCGAGTGTGGGTTCCAATCATTTTGGGACGTGTGTGGCATTCTGGGTGTTTGCTTGCCTGATGGGTTATCATTGCACTTGAACGGGTGTGTGACATTGTAGTGATCATTTGTTGGGAGTGTTCTGAGGGTCGACTTGGCCGTCGACGCGTAGGCGCTGCTGCGCGCGAGCGTCCCCGCAGAGGGCCAGCCCTGGCACCCCGGGGCTGAGCTTCGCGCTGCAGGCGGAGTCTCAATCCCAAACCTTCCAAAGACCTGCCTGGATCTTCCAATTCACTCTTTCAAGGGTCTCAGTGAACAACAACTCGGAGTTTTAGAACTAGTTTTTGAGGTAAGAAAAAACTCCTAGAAAATGACTGTGACTGTAAATCACAAACCTGAAGCCCCTAGAAATCGCAATTCGCCACTTGACGGAAGGAGCCCTCCAATTCAGAACTATTCACACTCAGAATTCACAATCAGAATCACTGATTCAGAATTCAGAATTCAGAAATCTGAATCGACATTTGCGCCTTTGGGTGTCACGTTTGCAAATCCGGCAAACAACACAGCTGAAACTCCCCGCACAACACTCGCAACAACTTTGCAACTTTCTCTAAAAATCCTGCAAACTCCCGCAAATTGCAAAAAGACGGAGTTTCCGGAGAGTGCATTTTCAGTAAAAGCAGAGGAATATCCATTCGAGTGCACAGAGTTGCAGAATTAATGGGGTAGTGTACAGAGTCGCATAATTGCGGGCCCAAACAGCAAAAAACGACAACAGGACTTGTTTCCAATTGCCTCCCCCAAGAACTAGTTTTTGATCCCACTCCTGCCTTTGGGAAGCAACACGTGAAACTCCCAGTATTCAGAGGGCCTCCTGGAAATAATCCGGAGAACGGAAAAAAAACACAGAGAAATAAGCCGGAGACGGAGGATCCAGGTGGCTTAAAAGCACCTGCCTCATCCTTTTGGTCCGTTTGTAGGGTGAAACTTTCGGCTCCTCCGCGCTCCACACGAAGGCGACTTTCTTCTGGAGTCCTGGCCACTGCCCAAGGCCTGGCTGGGACGTCACCTTCGGCTCTAACTGGTGAGGTGTGTTTTCGGGAAGCTGACCCCTCCTAAATCCATCGTGAGTTGGGTCGCTGGATCAAAGTTGACCCAAAGTAGAACCTTATATGGGTCACTGGATCGAAGTTGACGCAAAGAAGAACCTTGTTTGGGTCACTGGATCGAAGTTGACCCAAAGAAGAACCATGTTTGGGTCACTGGATCGAATTTGACCCAAAGAAGAACCTTATTCGGGTCACTGGATCGAAGTTGACCCAAAGAAGAACCTTATATGGGTCACCGGATCGAAGTCGACCCAAAGAAGAACCTTATTCGGGTCACTGGATCGAAGTTGACCCAAAGAAGAGCCTTGTTTGGGTCACTGGATCAACTTCGACCCAAAGAAGAACCTTATTCGGGTCACTGTATCGAAGTTGACCCAAAGAAGAACCCTATTTGGGTCACTGGATTGAAGTTGACCCAAAGAAGAACCTTGTTGGGGTCACTGGATCGAAGTCGACCCAAAGAAGAACCTTAGTTGGGTCGAAGTCGACCCAAAGAACAACCAAGGCTGTTTGGATCGAGTTGACCATTTCACGGTTCCAACCCAGTTGCTGATCCCGCATGGGCGACCAAGAGTCAGCGGCCAACTCTGCCAGGCTACGGCCCGGGACTGGGCGAAAGAATGCGCCGCCGTACGCGCCCGGATGCCTTGAGGCTAGGACTTGAGGCCTCGGATCTGCAAAGTGATCAAGCAACACATAGCTCAAACGGGGGGTCCTTTTAAGGATTCGGACCCCCAAACGTGTTGGTTTCTGTTTTGTCAAACATCTACGTTTTTCGCAGTTCAAACTCCATAGCTCTTGAATGGTTCAGTTCTTGGACAACCAAAGAGCTTTGTCACACACAGACTGAGTCTGTGGCCCCGTTTTTTTTTTGCATTCCGTTGGACTTGCATGGCCGTCGCCCCTCGACTGCCGGAGCTACTCGCCCGTCAAAAGAAGCTGCTTGCTTGGGGTGTCTGTGCTTGGTTCAGCTCATTGCCCTGGATGGACAAAAGAAGCAGCTTCCACTACTTAGGCCAATTGTCCATCGGTGCCCGGTGCTTGTTCCCGCGCTTGTCAGATTCGTCCAAATTGGACAAGCGTCGCATGACTGGGCTGGCGGTTTGCTGGTGGTTAACCCTTAATATGACAATGTTTCCGCGCGCAGGAAAGTAGGGCGAGTGACACAACTGTTGCGCAATTCCGCGCGCAGGAAAGTAGGGCGAGTGACACAACTGTTGCGCAAGCTCTTTGTGGCATCTGTCTGCGCAGTCTCACTGCGCAATCCTTCTGGGCAATCCCTCCTTCACACACAGTTTCGTTTCTTGACGCCACTTGTCTCCATAGTCTTTGCAGTCTCGCCTCTCTTCGCAATCCCTCGCTCGCCTCGCGCCTGGTTTCGTTGCAATATCGGTGATCTCTTTGCTTCTCTCACGGAAAACTTCTCCGCACAGTTTTCTCTGTCTGCCCTTACTCTCTCTGCGCTCTATCCAGGGAAAGGGAGTTGGGGAAAGGGCTTTGAATTTACCAATTTGCTCCGTCGAAGCCGGGAATCCCAGCACAAGATGGATGCGTTCACGCCGAGAGTGAGGTGTATTTCAGGGCGGGGAGGGAGCAGCCGTGCAGGCGCTGTCCTTTATGTTCGTCAAGCAAAACGGAATCTCGTTCTTTGTGCACAAGGGCAACCAACATCGCTGCTCGTCTTGGTTTTTGAGTTCCCCGGTTTTCCCCTGCTTTCCGAAAGCATGGCCTTGCTCTTTGTTCATTTGTTTTCGCCGTGTTCGAAGGTGCTGTCCCGAGGAGCGAGCACCATCGCCTGATTTCATGGTGTTTATCGGCTTGCTTTTCGATCCACGAATCCACGGACGCTTGTTTGCCGTTGTGGACACGCATGATTAGCGTGCATCATTGCGTGCGCAACAGTATTTGGCTCAGAGTCTTAGACTTAGCCTGTTCCATGGCTACTCCTTTGGATTGCGCTGGCTACAAGGCCGAGTTTCGTCGCATTCAAGGAGTGCTCAATCTTCAGTTGCCATATTCCGAAGGAACCGCAAGCGAGAAACACAGCCCCTACATTGTGCTCAATGGCACTGTGGGCAAAGTAGTCGTGGGGAAGGGAGCAGCAACCGGGGTGGCAGCGGATGGAGTCCATCCAATGGAGGACAATCCCGAATTCATCCACTACATTGAATCCATTTGGGTTGAGGATCAGTTGGGCAATCTGTTGTCGATGCGCCACCTCTCCCCAGCCGAGCCGAGCCCGGCCACAATGATCTTCGAAATCCCCCCAGGCACCACGGCTGTGCGTGCCTTTGAGTTTTGTAATGTCCACGGCCTCTTTCGCGGGCCTGCGGTTTCGGTGGACACTCAGCATATCAAGCCGGATGCAAACATCGGATGCTCCGTGCAAACTTGCGCGGAGGGAACGTCTGTGTCCGCATGCCAAGCCTTCACCGGCGAGCTTTTGCGCAGAGCCGACAACACGCCCAAGAATGATCCAACCGGCAAACACAAGCCTTACTTGACCCTGCAAGGCACCCGTGCAACCATCGTGGTTGGCATTGGCGCTACTCCAGGCAATGCGGGTGGATTGATCCATCCTATGCAGCCGTCAGACGATCAGGATATCGTCCATTGGATCTCCCACATTTATGCCTTGGACGATTTGGGGAACCTTGTGGCGTTGTGCGAATTGTTGCCAACAGATTCCGCTCCGGCCACCTGCAGTTTTGAAGTGCCCGAGGGCGTGCTATTCCTGCGTCCCTTCGAGTTCTGCAACAAGCATGGCTTGTATGCCGGGGAGATCGTGCAGGTGGCCGCGGCCAATGCGACGGCGGAGCGCAAATGCCGCAAACGTGAGTGTTCGGCGAGCCAGCCTTCGCTGGGCCCCTATGAAAGTGAAGCTGTCCAAGCTTTGATTCAGAGTCAGCAGGAGTCAGTCAACCGGATTTCCTCCGTGAATATGTGCCGCCAGCATTCGGCCAAGTACTTCATCGCAAAGTCTGCACTCACGGAGGAGCTCCAAGGATTGGTTGATGGCCTCACGCGCCAAGGCGCCACGGACAGTGATGTCGCTGATCGCCTTGCCATTTTCCCAGACCTCTTTGCGAGGCTGAACGCCCTTGGCGGCAGATGGTCAGCCATGGGGGTAGTCCTCCAGCACACCGTGATCGATGCCAATGGCACAAACCCCGAGCTGCGCTTGGAGCTGATTTCGGAGTCGGAGATGCTCTTTTCCCAAAGTTCGCTGCCAGCAGGCCAGCAAACGTTTGCTGATGGGATGTCTGTTCCAATCACTGACTCGGTGGACTTGCTGATCATCCAAGCAAGCTTCGGGATGGATTGGGGTCATGCCAATCTGAAGAGCCTTGGCCCGCACTACACCATCTTCTACTCCCCCGACTTCACGAACGAATTCGTGAATGTCACCCTATGTGCCAAGACTCAAGGCTGGATGGGCATTGGATGGTTAAGCCCCACTCATTCTGGAGTCCTGATGAACCACACGGACATGGTGGTTGCCTTTGTCCAGGATGGGCAGGCTGTGGTGCAAGACCGCTTTGCGCGCTACATCGAAGAGCCATTGCGAGACGAGCTTCTCTCAGACCAGCGCTCGGATGACTTGGGGAACTCGTTGAACGGCCAGAACGACCTGGAGCTCATCCCGGGAGCATTGGGCACGGCGGGCAAGGAATGGTGCCCAGATCTCCAATGCAACACTGGCTTCTCCTTGGTCCAGTTCCGCAGAGCCTTCAATACGGACGATGCCAGCGATCTGCGACTTCCAGTGAAAAGTGCCAAGATCGGGCTAATCCATGCTTTCTCCACAAAGGACCCAATTGATGGGATTTTGGTGCAACATGTCTCATCTTCCACTGGGTATGTTGATCTCCAGTGGAATTTGGACTGTATTCCAGGGACTTATTTCGAGATCACCAATATCGAATGCAAGCCTTGTGACAAGGGCCAGTTCCGCCCTGCATCATCGCCCGTGTGGAAATGCTTGCAAGCACCTCTGGGCTCATTTCAAAATGAGACCGGCCAAGCCGCAGTGAAGCGTTGCAAGGACGGCTTCACTACGGCGTCGGCAGGTTCCACAGAGGAGTTCGCTTGTGTTTGTCCAGGCCCATCATTGAACGCCCCCAATGGCCGCTATCACGTGCATCGATGTGGCACGGCTCCCTTGGTGGACGAGCTTGGCGATGCTACTCCATGTGCACGCCTGGGGGATTGCTTGGAGTGCCCCGAGGGAATGACCTGCAAGGGTTCACGAGACTTGCGCCTGGACCATCCTCCAGCCGCCAAGCGACGTGTGGAAGAATTTTGCTCATCCTATGCTTTTGCTGACACTGCCGTGTGCACCTCCCGAGCTTTCTGCCAGGCACACTTGGATGATCCAGACTGCGAGCATGCACGGCCGGAGTTGAAGCCCGGCTTTTGGTCAGACCCAACTGAGCCCTTGTCCGTGTTCGTCTGCAAAAACGATGTGCAGTGCCTTGGCGGTGTTCCCGGCTCTGTCTGTGCCACGAATCGTGAGGGCGTCAGCTGCGGGTTATGCAAGCCCAACCACTTCGCGGACGGCCTCGGGGAATGCGCTGAGTGTCAAGGCTTCGACGCCGTCCCCGGCGCCATCGGCTTCATCGCGCTGCTCATCGCCATCGCCCTCCTGGGTTGGCGAACCAGGCAAAGGATCTCCAAGAGCTCCAAGCAAGCCGTCTCAGCTGCGATCATTGCGACGCAGGTCGGAGTCACTCGCCAGCCAAAGCGCGAGTCAACCTGTCGACTTCTGACCTGGTTTTTCCGTTATTTCCATTTCAAAGGTGCCCAAAGGTGAGCATTTATTTTTGTCCGAACTGGGGAACTGAGGTCATGATCCAAACCCTCGGAGTGTTTTCCGATTTGACCTTGGTGTGGGAGAATCCCGTGAGATCCCTTCTGGGGGTGATGCAGCTCATCAACCTTGACTTCAATATCGTGAAGATCCAGTGCTACGTTCAAGTGGACAATCCTGCCATGAATGTGCTCGCTATGGTCTTGTTGATCCCGGCCTTGGCGGTTGGTGGGGCACTTGTCGCGGCCGTCATGTCTCGGGTGAAGGGGGACCAGTTCAGCTGGCCCCGATACCTGAATGTGGTTGGCCTGGTATTTCTGTTCCTGTACCTGAGTATTTGCATGTCGCTCACACGACCCGTTCACTGCAAGCGCAACCCCAACGGCTTGCAAACCATGGTGTCCAGCCCTGCTGTCGTATGTTGGGTTCCAGATCACATGTTTCTAGCTACTTTGGCGATTACAGGTCTTGTGCTCTATGGGGCAGGCTTTCTTGCTTATGTTGCTCAGATTGTGTGGCGCTATCCAGCCTTGGTAAATAGTGGTCATGGAATGAAGTTGCTCGTTCAGTATCACTTCCTATTCAATCGATTCAATGGCAATGGGTACTACTGGGGCCTATACTTCATCATGCAGAAGGTCTTTGTTGCTTTGGTGCCTATCTTGTTTCCCAACTCGGCAGCAGTGCAGATTCTTCTCCTGGCAGCGTTCATCATGCTGTACTTGGTTAGCGTTACATATGTGACACCATGGGTGACGGGGCTTGCCAACTTTGCAGACATCTTCCTGAATGCAGGTCGGAGGGCCTGGTTTTGTCCGATGTTGTGTGCTTTATTTCGAACTGATCCGTTGTTAGTGTTGTCGATGTTGGATAGACCCTGCCGTAAAACACAACATTTTGGCCTCGGAAACGAGCATGACATGAGCAAAGACCATTTTTCCGAACAAAGTCGCGGCCCATCCAGGTCTGCTGTTCTTCCTGTTGATTGCGTCTTTCTTGGTGGATGGCAACGATGCATACACGAGGGCCATCATCGGCGTTGTTCTGATGATAGTGATCCTTGTCATTAGCTTGGTGCTGACTGCGTTGGTGCTCCGTGTGATGTACACCAAGCTCTTCCCTGGCAAGATGTATGACATGTTCCTATGTCACCATAAAGCAGGTGCTGGGGTGCTGTGCCGATGGCTGAAGGGTGAAATTCTTCAGCAGACCAGGAAAAGGGCAAAGCTCTTCTTGGATTCAGATGAATTGGAAGGCCTTGCAGACATTGGCGACATCGTGAAAAGCCAGTCAAGCACCTTGGTCATTGTGGCCACCAAGATGGTATTGTCCCGCCCGTGGTGTGCAGTGGAGATTTGCTCAGGGGTAGCCAATCAGGTGAGCATCGTGATCTTGAAGTGTCCTGACTTTGATTTCTACGATGAGGAAGGCTTTTGCACTCTGAGGGAAGGCTGGAGCAACTCTGATTTGATGATTTTCGCTCAGAATGCCATAGACCCCCAAGTCATAGAGCAAAGCTATCGTCTCTTGCCGAGCCAACCCTTGGTGGATTTCAACGCCTTTGCTCCGGTCAGTGAGCAGGCCATTGCCGTGGCAGAGCTGTTGCACCACAGCAGCTTGGGCGGTCAAGCTGGAAGCAAAGAAGTGGAAGATTTGGCGCCTGAGATTATTGTCTTGGGTTCCCTGACAAGTGCAGAAGGGCGGTTGACTTGCCAGGTCCTCCAAGGCATGTTGGTGGAACGTCTTCGCAGGCCAATGATCTTTGCTTGCAAGCCAGAACAACTTCAGGACGCCGTCGTGAGCGCCCAATACATGTTGGTGGTGCTTACCAATGGCTTATTGCAAGACAAGTGCTTTCTTGAAATGCTTTGCATGGTCGAGCAAGTTGAGCCGAAGTTGGAGATCGTCACTGCTCTGGCGGATCAGGCATTCGAGTTCCCTACAGCTGCATACTTTGAGCGGCTGGATGCGGAGTTGGTACAGTCAGTGAAACGCGTTGTGAACATTCTGGCCTTGCCCTTCTCTCCGCAGGTCTCTATCGCCGTCATGTCTGCACAGGTGGATGAGCTCACTCGCCGCTTCAAGTTTCAGACTTCGGTGACGCGCGTGACCACAATGTCCACAGCCGGAAATTCGGCGTTAGGAGAAAGGCTGCCTAGCATCTCCGACAGTGCCGAGAGTGACGACAAAGTTGTGTACAGCTTTGATATGTAACGTTCCAGAGACGTGATCCCTAGTAGTGGCCTCGGATGGTAGAAGGCATCATGAGTGCCCAATACATGCGGGTTCTTCCCAATGGCTTCTTGCAAGCGATACAATTTTGGGACATGCTGCGCATGGCCGTGCGGATCAGGTAATACTTTGAGCAGCTGGATGCGGATTTGGCACAGTTCTGAATGACTGTGCAACCGGTTGTGAATTTCCAGCTTGCCTTATTTTTGTGCAAAACCTCCATCCACGTCATGTTTGCAGTTGATGAACTCCTTTGCCGCTAGTTTGAAGAGACTATGTGTCGACCACAGCGGAGAAGCTGGAAGGAAAGCTCGCTGGTATTGCGGTGCGGAGGGCGATGACCATCACTTTGTGTCCAGAGGCGTGGAATGTTCCAGATGCGGGTTTCGGTCAAAATATCCAGTCAATGGCCGGAAGGCCTTACAAAAGCACGACACGTAGAACCACGTATGGGTGTGTCTCAAACTGGGGACCCCCCACAATGGTTGGTTTCCTTTTGGTTTCCCTTTAAAACTATTTGAAAAGGGGAATCCTCAAATCAAGGTATTTTGACCGTGACTCACGTCTTGCGAGGTAGTGCATGCCTGTTTGGCCTTCAGCCGCTCTCGTTTCACGCACAAGCTCCAGGTCAATCGGGCAAGAGAAAACTTTCAGGGTCGTACCGTACCTGCGTGTTGGAGGTCTCACTCCACTTTCAGCACTTCAGCCAAGCCGTTTGGCCGTCTCCTTGCTGCCCTGGCATCAAGGATTCTGACACGCACACGCACAAACTGCGCTCAGAACCAGAACCAAAAGGCCCTGGATGTCAAGTTCACAATCAAAAGGCCAGAGTCCAACTCACAGACATTCCCAACAGTGCGAAGCCTTCGTCGCTCCGCCATGCGCAGCCATGGCAGCTTGGTTGAAGGCTCGCGCGAATTGTGTCTTTGTCTTTCCGAGGGGCGGAGGGTGAGGAATTTTTCCAATTGCTCCTTCAGGTCTCCTGTGCGTGCCTTGGTCGGTCTCTCGGACAATGCAGGCGTGCGCTAGACTCCTGGGGCGAAGGGTACGTTTGGCAAGTGATTGGTATACCAATGGGCAAACATCCCTCTGCCATGGTTGCAAGTGCTCTTTCCGGTGATTTGCCCGTGGTAAACCGGGGTTGCATTTTTTTTGGACCATTCTTTTTCTTTCTTATTTTTTTCCATTTTATTATTTATTTTTAAAGAAGCTTTTCCCGAAAAGTTCCCTTGCGGGAAAATCACATCAACCACGGAGTTTCAGTCCTTGTGAGCCCGACGTTGAGCACCTGCAGCCTCTCAGCTTCGACCGCCGCCTGCCGGGCTTCGGCAGAAAACGCTATAGAGACTTGGCCAGCGAGTGGAATTTGTCGCAAAGGTTTTACAACCCCTGGCCCCTCTTTGGATAACAAGTACCAACCCGACTCCAAATACTGTTTTTTGTCTTCTTTCTTTTTCAGGGCATGGGTTTTTGGAAGAACCCAGTTGTCCCACGGCAAATACCTCCTGTTTGAGTCAGCCGATATTCTTTGACATCGGCCCTAAAAACCAGCGGCCATGAGGGGGCAGATCAGCTGGTTGAATCGCCCAACGCCAGCCGCGCCCCACGAGGTCATGTCGCTTGCTAACGTCTCCAAGCTCATGTGTGCCGCCAACGTCTCGACTATGTCGCTTGCACCAAAAAAACTGGGATTTCAGCGTCGGTTCAAAGAAGTTTAAAGTATTGGTGGGATTGCAAGGTAAGTATGACTAGGTAAATGATTTGGGGACCCCCCTCACCCCCCCCCCCCACCCTCTTCCCCCTCATTGTTGGGGGATGGGGTAGGTGACTCTGAAAATTGGGGGGCCCCCAAAAGGAGCCTGAGAAGGGAAGCGCAGGCGCCCGCAACGCCCAGAAGCTGAGGTTTCTGCCTCGGTCCGCCGTTGCCTGGGGTGTGTCCTGACTGAAATCGTCGACTTCGGCTTTGTCAAAAGGAGGCCTTCGGATCGTGGCAGAGGAATCCTCGACTCACGCAACCAGATGGTGGAGCTATCCTTTGGGTTGATCCAAAGTTTATGTGAGACTTCCTATTTGGCCAACTCATCCATTCCTTTCCCAGCAAACCAGACCAGAGGTCCCTCGGCTTGCCCGAGGTTTGGCACGCGTGGCTTGTTTGGCGATGGTGGTGAAGCTTACCGTTGATCATGTGGAAAGTGGCATCAAGCTCCGCGCTCAGTTTTTCGCGGGTGGCTCGTCTGTTTTTGGGGCACCCCCAAAAATGCATGTCGTTTTCCCAGTTGGTGTCCCTTTATACCCTCAAAAAAGAGACGCCAGTTCGCAGCCCTGTCTTCCTCGGTTGGAAAAGGAAAGGAAACAATGGCAGCCATTCAGCTGGTTTGTGAATATTTCACCCGCACATGTCTGGATGAATGTAGCCTGGTATTTGGTCTCAAATCAGGGATTAAATAGGGATTGGGTTTGTTTCCAACCCAGTCTTTTTCCAGCCGGCATTTTTTAGACAGTGTTCCTTTGTCCAAGGGTGCCCATCTTTTTTTCGGCACTTTCTCCCCACGGCATCTTGCGAAGTGCCGGACTTCAGGCCATCAAGCTTCAGAAGGGAGCAGCGCTCCCGAATCGATCAATTTGATGGACGCTCGGATCAAAAGGAACTCGCTCGATTCGAGGGATCCCAAGCGCAGATCTCTTTGTCGTTTTGGGGGCAAGTCCCCAAATTTCGGTGTGGTCATAGGTCCGTGACAAGCTCGCAAGATATTCCCAACAGGGAGGGTTCGGTGGCTCACGGGAAAATACCCAGAAGGTTTGGGCGCGCACGCCGCGATTGTTGGACAGGGGGCAAAACTGTGGAGGAAAAGGTGGGAGATTTCACCCGAGGACAACCAGGGAGCGGCACTGCTACTCACTGCATCCTCCTTGGATGAGTCGCTTTGGCAGATGGCAAGTAGCGATGGATGGGCTGCCAGGGTAGTTTTGGTGTCCCCAAAACAGGTGTGCAGGTTGATTAGGGTCAGTTTTTGGAAGTCGCCTTCCGGGTTTTGGTGATTGATAGATATCTGTTTTTGGTTAATGGCATTCATCTCGGGTATTTTTGTGGATTGACACGGTGTTGTCTGCTTGCCACACAACTTCTGGTCGCCGGGGGAGGTTAAAAAAATGTAACCCACAGGGGTTGCGGCAAAGTGACCTGGACCCGTTTTCTTTCGGCCCCTTTGAAGTGTCTTTGCTTCTTTCAGGGGGAGTCACAAGTCATTGCTTTTCCAGCTGATGACCTTGACTACGCTCAGAGACTTTAGCAGCCCCGTCGCTTCCGTCAGCAGCTCCTGGACGTTCTGACCTTGCCGTCAGATCCCTCCTTTGGGTCCTCTGCTACCCCCTTCTCCGCTGCAACCTTCGGCTTGATCGGCTGCTGCGATTTATTCTGCTGCTGCTGCTCACCTTGCGCCTGCTGTCTGAAACCTGCCTTGCCGGCCGCCTCGTCCTTCACCGGGCATTCCCCATTGTGAGGGAGGTCCCGTTTCAAGGACAAGACGAGGAAACCAAAAACCAGGGGTTTGGATTTTGATTTGAACTTACAATGGGTAAATAAACAACAACCAATCCACCAATTGGAGGGACACTGGATAAGCGAGAGAAGCCGATCTTTTTGAAACGGCGCATCCGAGGTGCAAGCGGATTTTTCAGAGCCAAGCTTGTGCTGCCCATCCGAGTGGCGGGGGCACCGCGCAAGAGCTTCTGGGCCCCAGTTTTGCGGCTGGGTGCGGTTCCCTTTTTTGAGGAAACCTTTTGTTGGGTAGTTTTACCGGAAACCACAAGGAGAAAATCCATTTTGGGGGCTCCCCTTAAGTGGTCGATTTGGAAGCTTGGGGAGGCGACGAGAAGCGATGGTCCGCATTTCAACCAAAAAAAACAGGAGGTAAGACCCCCTAGTTTTCCCATATTCCTCTTGGTGAACAAATCTACAAAGTCCGTCATGTGTCGCCTCCTTTTTTGCTTGGGGTGTTTGTCAAATAGGTAGGTTTGGCACAGAACTATGAACTGGATGTTCCAGCACTTGATAACTCAGCAGCTTTGAGCTACACATCGTCCCAAGGCATTTTCTCCGGTAAACACATATCTGGTCGTATGCTCGCTGTACCTGTTTGGGTGTCGATTTTGAGGGGTCCCCCAAAATGGATTTCGGCGTTCCTTTTGGTTTCCCTTAAAGGCCATCCCAAAAGGCACCACAACCATATTTGTATTTGTGACATGCTCGATTTTGCTTGGGGTTGTGACCCAACGCGCCGAGCGACGCAAAGTAGGTGAACCCAGAACGCCTCACCTGGTTGCAGCGGCTCCTGGTCCAAGGGAGCAATGGTTCAATCTCTTCCTTTCTTTGGCTGGCATTTTAAGCTTTTAACCAACCCGACTTAGCAATCAAACTGGACAACCGATTTTCAGGTTTCCAGGTATAAAACCAAGCCCTGGGCTCCTTTCCAACCTGGACGATAGACCAGTGGGTGGTAACCAGTGGTGAAGAAAATGTGGTTCACACCGATTTTGCACCTTTGGAACCTTCTTTTCGGTTTAAGACCATGTTTGCAACCAGTAACTGGGTGTTTCTCAACTTATGGAGCCCGTACCCCCCCCCTCCTTTACCCCCCCCCCCCTTTAAGCTTAAGGGCTTCTCTTGCAGGGGAGGCTTAGGAAGCCTTGCGGAAGCCTTGCGGAAGGTTTGGGGAAGCTTGGCCTGACATTCGCCCTGCGCATGGCGGGAACACTGACAAGAAATACCGAACCTGCAAATTAGGTTAAAGAAGCCTTGGGAAGCCTCACGGAAGCCTTAGGGAAGCCTTAAGGAAGCCTTAGGGAAGCCTTAGGGAAGCCTTAGGGAGGCCTTAGGGAGGCCTTAGGGAGGCCTTAGGGAGGCCTTAGGGAGGCCTTAGGGAGGCCTTAGGGAAGCTGGAAACCTTAGAGAAGCCCTAGGGAAGCCCTAGGGAAGCCCCAGACAAAGCCGTACGGTCTCCTTGGGGAAGCATGTTTGCGGAAAGCTTAGGGGGACGCAGCACTTTCAGAAAAAACAATTCGAATCTCTTCTGATTTCCCTAGGTTGGGGGGACGCAGCAAAGTAACGCAGCTCGAATGTCCGATCAAAATCAAGGGGTCTCTTAGGTTCAGCTTAGGAAGTCTTAGGGAAAATGTTGCTATATCCACTTCCTAGCCACCCTAGGGATAGGACCTAACTACCTTAAGGGGGGGGGGGGGGTAGGGGGGGGGGGTACAGGCATTCATAATCAACGGAATCGGCGACCATTGCGAGAACCACCCATGCTTGGTCTTTGCATGGCGATCTGAAAGGGAAGCATCCTAGTGTTTGGAGGCGTTTGACACAGGGAGTTCCAGGGGAAACAGCCCAAACTCGGACAACAATGCCTACATTTCAGTTTGCAGCAAATGAGCAGGTCTCAAACCCCCTGTTGGCCAAAAGGAGACTGTTGCGAGAAGCGGCCAGACAAACCTTGAAGACCATGCCGGGTACTAAACGTCTCGGGTTTGAACCGCACGGCCTCACTTGCCCAAAGCGAATCGACCGGATCTGACCTTTTGGTTTGCCTGGTCCATTTTCGATCATACCCCAACAGGTCCAGGTGATCCGTTTGTTTCTGGCTATCGTCTTGGGATTTATGGGACAAATCCTTTCTGATATCCTTAATTCGGATTTATGGGACAATTCCTGAATCTGAGATCGGTCCGAGCTGGGGAAAGGTTCACCGCCCTGGTGAACACCTTCAGCGCGCTGTGCTCCGGCTACGCCTTTCACGGCCAGCTGCGGTGGCTCCCGTCGGGGCGACACATCGACTCCTCGTGTGCCTCGGAGTGGCTGCGACGGGCGGGGAGCGAAATGGGCACCGAGCCACGCGAGGGCACCGAGCCTTCGCCTCACAAGACGCTCCACGGAGATTCTCATTTTGTTGGGGGGACCCTGTGGATATTCAGGTATGGGACCCAACTGTGTGTCGATG